GCATTTCCCGAGTGGAAAATAACCAGCTGTCTTTTCCTGTTTGTGGTGAGAGGCATCTCTAAAATTGGATATTCTATAGACATAACTTGCTGACTACTGATGGCCTGTGTTAAAGAAGAATATCTGAGGACTAGTTTGCTTCTCTGTAGAAAATGATGTTTGTGCCACGGAAATCCGTGCGTCTTTTCTCAGCAGTGGGAAGTCTCATGCTGTACAAGTTCAGGTAGGTGTCACCTGTCACCTAGCAACAAGCTCACTGCTTTGTGTCTTCAGCGTCTCTTTTCATTTTTAAGTCAAAATAGCTATGAAAACGTAGCACTTAGATATGCATTTATCTCCAGAAATATTTAGATTAACCTTCAAATATTTTTAGTTCCCAAGATAACTCACTGCGACAGGTAAAACAGAAATAACTTTAAATGAAGGAAGGCAAGGTATATATCAAAAACCTTGAGGCACAGCAAGGCCAAGATGGGTCTTTTACATACTATCATCGATTTAAATTCACAAAGCCTGCTTGTCGGAGTCCCTAATTGGCTTGAAAAGTTTTGTGAATATGTATATAAACCTTTGTTACCCGACTTTTTTTTTTTTTAATCAGCCCCTGAAAATACAAGATCACAGCTAATGAAGTAGTGATTTGTGAAACTGAACCTAGAAGACGGAATTCCAAATGGGATTGCTGTACCATTACCAGAATTCAATTTACTTGAAACAGAGCAACTAAATTACCTTTGGGCAGAAAGTAGAATACCCTGAGTAGTCAGATGTCTATAAGCACCTTTAAAAGGTGTCTCGCTGTCTCTGTTTAAAGATACATAAAAGGATTTTCAGAGGAACTGGCAACAAGTGTACTTACAGTTCTTGAAGTATGCAGAATGTATTAAACACCCACCTTTAGAGATGGAGAGCATAACAGATAATTTCAGGTGTGACGAAGAGCTAGCAACCTGTTACTACAGGTGATGAGATAGTGCCCATACCCTAAAGTGTAACTCCTTCTTCATTAAGCTGGGTAGTATCCACATCCGTTCTGACCAAGGTCAGTTCTATTGTCCAGGATACTTAACTGTCTTTGAATTACAAAGGGCGCTTAGAATTCCTTTTAGGAAATTTTGGGGGAGGAAAGGAGTTCAAAAGGAACAGAATTGAGAAGACGATTCCCTATTGCTACAATTTCTCCAGACTCACCATTAAAACAGGAGTATTTACTAACAGTTCTAGACAGCAATTATTTTTGTTTAAAAGTAAGTCTAAACTTCTTTCCAAAATGTAATATATCAGGCCTTTTCTTATTTCTCATATTTACTTTGTGTGGAAATAAGGGACCAACCCTTTGCTTTTTCTTTACCTGACAATTGAGAATCATTTTTGGAGGCAGGAAAGTAAGCACCAAAACATGTGTGATGAATTTTTGATGAGGACAGTGGCCTTTAAAACTTCTGTGCTGTGAGATTTACGGGATAATCTTACAAACCTATTTGGCAGACTTAAGTAATATTTTAATTAGGAAATTGATGAGATATTAACTGTTGCTGGAAAGGTGCCATTTTCCTATTTTACATCATGGCTTGATTTTGATGGGGATTTGGGGAGCAGCGCAAAGGCCCCTTAGCATGAATAAAGTTGATATTCGTCTATTTTGTGGTCTCAATTTTGGGAAGTCCTGTTATTTTCTTGCTTAATCTGGGCCACTGATTAAGGAGTGAGAATTCCTATGTGAATTATAGGACACATTGCTGCATAGACATGACCCTAGTTGGGGTAGATGGTAGACAAACAGGTGTTACTGTTACCCCTGCTTCTGTGGAGAAGGAAATGGGGACGCCAGTTGGATGAATTGTTTCAGGTCAAATGGCCAGTGGGAGACAGCAGTGAGCCCAGGGATTGGTCTTCTCAGCTCTAAACTGTGACTTCATTTGCTGTCACATGTGCTACTTAAAGTATTGGGGTGATCGAGGGGAGCTGCTGGTCAGGAGATGAGCTTGAGCACTCTTTGAGGAGTGTGAATTAAATGGAAAACAAAAGTGAGCATTATATCAGGCTCTCAGGTTTGAAAGATACAGAGGTATACATTGAAGTCGTAGGTGGTTGCAAAGATAAACCAAAAATCCATGCTCAGATGTGGAGCTAAGGAGTTCTAGAAGGACCCTGACATTATCTAACTGGTTACCTTGGGCATGAAATTAATCATCATTGTCAAATCAATCTTAAAATAGTTCATGTACTCAAGTTCCAGAACTGCTTTCAGTACAAATTATATCACTAGGCTACTTTGTAAATCCCCAAATGCTGTCAAAATGTGGGATATTATGTTGGGTATAGTTCACATTATTTAATGTTTTAGTCAGCAGATTAATTTTATCTAAAAATACAAATTAGATAACGGAGGCCCTAGTTACGTGGATAGGAAGAATCCGCATGATTGATAGAAACACGAGTTTATTTTGTTTTTCTTCCGTTTGTCACTACTACCTTTATTTACTCATTTGACAACATTTATTGATCTCCCTAAAATGTGTGAGGTAATGTGCTCTGTTTCCGGAAATAAAGATGGGTGTGGCACTATGGTAGCACGGACGTCTGTTTCTCTGGGGAGCATAAGTTGGTAGAGTCTGTTTAAAAAGACATTTTGAAAAACCAGGAAAAAAAGTTCCTATTATTTTGATGTGGTAATTGCACTTCTATATTTTAAGGCAGTAATTAAAGGTGCAGACTTAGAGCAGCTAAGTATAGTAGACGAGGGTGCCCGGCTCAGGGGGTGAATGGTGGTGAAGATCTGCCCTGGGCTCTGCTCATTGGGCCCTCCCTGCTGATTAGTGTCTGCCCCTGTCTGCCCAGAGAGGGCGTCCCTTCCAGGGGTGCAGTGTCATCACCCCGGCTAGCAAAGGCCCCAGTGGCTATAAGATTGACATAGAAGGATATTTAAATGTTATCACCCGTAGCACAAAATCGTAAATTATTAGACAAAAATTAGGGAGTAAATATATCTCTGCAGTGGAGTGTTACAAATTTTGGATTAAGCATCAGGAAGTTGAATATCATGTGAAAAATGGCCAAGATATATCAAAGTGTGGGGGAAAAAAAACCTACAAAATTGGAATGTAAGATTGAAGCCAGTTTTTGACGTACCTAGTACATTCTGCTAAGTTGGAACTGATCAATTTAGATATATTTTGAAGACTAGAAAGGACAGGATGTGTTTGATAAGAACATGGTGTTTTAGATGACTTTTTAATTCTTTCAAGGGAAACCATATTATGGTTTCATAATGTAAAATAGAAGAATTATACTCTGAATTTCCAGAGAATTTTTCTAGTTTGCCAATGTAATATTAAGATACTATTGGGGTGCCTGGGTGGCTCAGTAGTTAAGTGTCTGCCTTCGACTTAGGTCATGATCCCAGGGTCCAGGGATTGAGCCCCACATGGGGCTCCCTGTTTGGCTGGAGCCTGCTTCTCCCTCTCCCACTCCTCCTGCTTGTGTTCCCTCTATCGCTTTGTCTCTCTCTGCCAAATAAATAAAATATTTAAAAAATATTATTAAAATGTTACATTTACATTATGTTGCTTTTCAGCAGCATTTCTAGTAGTAAAAACTGTAGTATATACATTTTGAGATATAAACTTTTTTTATATGTAAATATTACATAGGTATAGAGAGAAAAGTGGAGAGGAAGGATGGAGGGGGCAAAGGGGAAGAGAGAGAGAGAAGGAGAAATTGGTTAATTGATTGATTAACTTAAAACTGGAATAAAATTAAAAGCCAGTCTGCCTTACAGACCAAGCCCATGGAACTTGTGAATCGTGCTATGTTTCATTTAAGGCCCTATGAGCGAGTGAACCCTTTTTCTGTTCAAATGTCTGGAGACCCACGCAGAGGAAATCTGTGCCATGCTACAGGGGTGAGCCCCCAGCAGAATGGGGGCTGCTAAGAACACCAAGGCCTGTCCCTCTTGAGTGTAATTCTGAATGAAAACGCAAAATCAATTATGCCTACTAAGCTGGCTTAACTGAATGCCAAAGAAAATTTGCCTCATGAAAAGGGAATCTGAAGCAAGTTACATAATGTGCTGAATGAAAATAAACAGGAGGACTTTCAAGATACTTCCACATGAGGCAAATGCTTTATTGTAATCAGAACTCTCTAATCCAGGAATATTTAATTATATTTCGTGAGATCCAAACGGTCCTGGGGATATGGAAGCTTTTGAGATTAATTTTTTGGGGTACCTGGGTGGCCCAGTCAGTTAAGCATTTGACTGGACTCTTGGTTTATTTAGGTTACAGTCATGATCTCAAGGTTGTGGGGTTGAGTCCTAGGTGGTGGGCTCTGCGCCCAGTAAGGAGTCTGCTTGGGAATTCTCTCCCTCTTCTCCTCCCCCCTGTATCTCTCTCTCTCTCTTTCTCTTGCAATTAAATAAATCTTTAAAAAAAATAAAAAGTTGCTTGGGTATTGATCAACATGAAGTCACCAAAAAGTATTCATATTAATTATGCTGCATATGTATCAGCTGTAAAGAGGGAAAAAAATCATTTCCTCTGGAAAACAGCATTACTTAAAAATTCCTTGGTTGCTAAGAATAAGGGAGCCAAGTGCTCCAGTAAGAATATTTGTGACTTTCATATATTAAATTTACTTTTAAACCAATTTCTGCCATTTTCTCTTCCCCTTTGTCTCTCTGGTACCTCCCTTTCCTTTTCTTCCCTCCCTCGACTCTCTTTATCCAGATCCTCATTATCTTGTGCTCAGGAGCTGTCCTAGTTAGAGATCGTACTTTTATTCCTTCATTTTTCCACTTTGCCCTTTAGTGGCTGGTAAAGAGCAAGCAAAAAACAACCAATGAAAAAAATATTCTGCGACTGTTGCTTTGATTATCTCATTCTACCAATGAAGAGCCTAAAGAATTGCAGAATGAAATTGTTCACTCCCCAGTTGAAGAATGTCATCAACATATGGAACTTTTCCTCATTATCTGTTTTTGTGTGTGTTTCTTGCAGGATCAATGTGACTCTAGAGACAAATGGATGAATGAATATCCATATGAAGAGGAAAACAATAAAGGTTGGTTAGTCAAATTTTATATCACTGTATTGAAAATCTTAGGTTGAACATGATTTTGGGGCCATTATTCTCATTAGAACACTTCTGTGTCTGGGTGTGGGACAGAAGTCAATACTTCGATACATACATCTATCTGTAAAGTGTAATTTAAAAATTTTAAACCCTTAAATGTGAAGAAATTTCTAAGGAAAAAAACCCTTTTTTGTGTAAGTCTAGCTGTTATCAGTTTCATAGAACTTAGGCTGGAATTAAGGAATCAGCTTATTGATGAATATTGGGAACCGGAAGACCACTGGATACAACTGATCCTTGGGACAAAGAAAAACAAAAGAAGCCAGCTTTTGTGTAAATATATGTTAGTTCCTACAAGCGTAATCCTGATACCAGCGCCACATGGCACAGGATTGCTGTCAGATGCTGTCTTCTTTGTGCCAGCTGAGTCAGCTTTCCTCAGAGGAGTGGGATGACTTTGAAGGGCTTTTCCTTTGGTTTTTCACAGACAGGTACCACTGTAAATTGGAGGGGGGAAAAAGTCTTGTGAATTTCAATAGTAATCAAATCCTGGCTGTCACTTTATGTGTGGCAGTTACTTGAGCTTTTCTCCTACTCTCTACTGGTTATGACATAAAAATCATAGGCAAAAGAAAGAGAATTACAGAATGTTAAACTATCTCTTTCCTAAGATTTTCACACTTAACAGGTCTGTTTTGTAGACATGTGCCTCATAACACTTGGGGAGCTGCGCAGTACCTGCCATTTCGTATTTTCCTTCCTGCGTTGCTCTTGCTACTGTCAAGTAGATGTACATCATGCTGTGTCTTTTTCTGCCAGCCTACCTTCGCAGTTCCTTCCAGATAATTTTCCAGGTTATATCTTTCATTTAACATTGCCTTCTTCCTTCATCATTGCTAAAATTACTCCTTTCTAGTATTTGTATCTGGAAGATTTTCAGACCTCTAGAGGGCTCATGGATTCACACATGATACAAGGGAGGCATGTGGGTATATGGTAATATTTTTTTTCTTGACCCCAGCATTGCCTACATGGGAGAATTTACTTTGTGAAAATTAATTGTGCTGTGTATTTTTTTTTTAAAGATTTTATTTATTTGAGAAAGAAAGAAAGCATGTGAAAGTGAAAGAGCGAGAAAGCTCATGTTCATGAGCTTGGTGAGGGGCAGAGGGTGAAGCAGGTTCCTCGTTGAGCAGGGAGCCCAATGCAGGATTCAAACTTAGGACCCTGGGATCATGACCTGAGCCGAAGGCTAATGCTTGACCAACTGAGCCCCTATACTGTGTATCTTTATTTGGATCAGTGAGTTGCTATTAAACTGGCTTTGGGTTGGGGGGGGTGGGGGGTGTGATCTGTATTGCTCGTCATTGCCCATGGTGTAAATACTCTCATTATGATTGGTTTCAGTGATTTAACAACTAGCTTACAGGGATCTTTAATATTTAACTGGCGCTCTTGAGCTGGGGATGAGCTAGCCACCAGCACACCACTGATAATTTCATTCATAAAGTAAAGTTAAACGGTATTATGGACTCCCTAAGGCAAAGGTAATAAATTTGAATTTTCCTGCTTTGTCCCTAAGTAAATATGGAAACTTTCACTTCTTATCATGCAAAATATGTTTATCCCTTATATATGATGTTGGTATAGTATTACTTTATGTTTTCATTCAATTGTTATTAAATTTTTTTGTTTGAGTAGATCAGTATTAACTTTGTGAGTTTATTTATTTTGACAATGTCATTGTTCTGTAACTAATTTTATGACAACTGAAGATGATGGCAAAGAGAATCATTGTGTTACTACTTACCCTGAGGAAAAACTCTGAAAATATTATCTTGATTGACTATAATATATGTGATTCATTCTAAATGATTGTGCCTCCTAGCTTATAAAAGTCTTATTCAGAAGTCTGTATGGAGGAAGGAGCAGTATTTCACTTAATGTGTTTGTTCCAGAGAATTATTTTTTTTTTTCTTATTGCTGTTTTTCATTTTTTGGTCTGTATTTTCAGTTACAGATGCCTCAGAACAGAAAATACATTGGTGCTTCTTTTTAAGCTTGCTTGAATCAGGTGCTGTTAGTTTTTAAATGATTTTTTGAAAAATTTTATTTATTTATTTGACACAGAGAGAGATCACAAGTAGGCAGAGAGGCAGGCAGAAAGAGAGGAGGCAGCAGGCTCCCCGCCAAGCAGAGAGCCAGATGTGGGGCTTGATCCCAGGACCCTGAGACCATGACCTGAGCTGAAGGCAAAGGCTTAACCCGCTGAGCCACCCAGGCACCCTTGATGCTGTTAGTTTTAACAATGTCTGATTCAGGGAGAAAATTGCAGAGCTTGAAAATTTATCTTTTCTGTATATTAAGTGTATTGACAAAGTCACTTTTAAGATGAAGTTTTAGAATGTCAGCAGTGCAAGCAACATTGCCATTGTCTACGTAATTGAAAAGACATTTGAATATCGCTTTTAAAACTATTTAGTATGTTTCCAGTTTGTGACTGGTGATAAAATCTTGCCAAGAGCCACAGAATATCATGCTGTGCCTTTTCTGCTTAGGTTCGAATATTTAAACGAATATTTAAACGGCCTAAATAGGATTTGCAGAATTCCTTTTGTGGCCACACCAAGAGTCTCACTTCCAGGAGCAGTCTTTATCTTCTCTTTGAAAAGAGCTATATTTGCATTAAGTGCTTTCCCTTACTCAAGTGTTAAATTCTTTTATTCACTTTCATTGCACTTGAGTTTGTCCCCTTACGATCTGCCTTTGGAAGACATCAAGGAAATTCAGAAAAGATCCCATCTTCCATCATTTTCTGTTCCTAAATATTGGCAGGAAATATGGCATATATGCTCTCGAATGTATTTCACCAGTTGCTGTCCCTATGAATGAGGTGGCTTGTTCAGGGACCGGGCTCCGCAAACCTGGCTTTGCCCCATCTGTCTTCCAGCCGCTCCAGGGTATGTTTACCGAGTGCTTCTCAGCTGCTGGTTTAGAGCAGGTGTCCAAAACATGCGCACGCATATACATGAGCCCCCCTCACCAGAGTTCACATTCAGACTTCTGCTCTGTGACTACCTCTGATGAACAGCTGCTTACACCGTCCAGCACCAGCAGTGGATGACTTTTACTTCTTGTATTTGGAAACCACGAGGACAATAGCAAGCTTTGCTGAGGAATCTTTAATTTCCTACCAAAAAAGAGTTTATAGCATAGTGATGGGCATAAATAGTGTGGCTGCTTTAAAGTTCTTTTCCATGAAGTTCCAAGGCTCTTTATTCAACACAGGATAGAAAGAATCACGGCAACCTATCCTTTCTTCCATTTTCAACGAAGTAGGCAGAGTGGCTTGGAAAACCCCAGGGTCATGTAAGTAAAACGTGGTCAGTGCTGGGCTACTATACATTTATGTAGAGTAGTTGCTTAGACAGTAAACATGGACTAGAACAAACAAACAAACAGAAAAACCCAGAAAAACAAGTCGTGACACTATCATGCTCTATCTGGATGATTGTGGACCAGTGACGACTTTTCTGAATTTTAATTTTCTCAACTGCATAGTGGAACTAATGACACTTGTCCTATTTCAGTGGTTGTTATGGCGGAAAGGAAGTATGATGTTTTCAGGATAACATTTTAAAGCATAGAGTTCTAAATGTGAGTGTGGTACTGATACTATTATTTTTATAGCATGAGAGAGATTTGTGACTTTGTTGTATGACTTCACATTATAAAGTCATTTTCAGAATTGGAAGCACCCTCAAACGTCACTAAGCCTAACTTGTGCTTGGGATGTGGCAACCTTCTGGAAGGGTTGGTTGGTTCCATCAGCCTTATGTTGAGTACTCTTTGGAATTTATACTATATGTGGCAATTCATTCTACTGTCAGGCATATATAATTATATTACAAGTTTATCCTCATATGGAGCCAAATCAGTAGATGTGATAATGACGGAAACTAGTGGGTATATAACATATTTATTAAAATATCATCCTGAATTAGGTCACTCTTCTATCAAGTCATTTCACCTTTGGGTATCTGATTTCTCTTATCTAGGAAATGAGAACAAAATAATATACAGGGATCTGAGAAATATTATGCAGTTATTAAAGTAGAATAATGGCTTTATTCTTTGAAAAGATGATGTATTGCTCATTTTTAAACATTAAAGCAGGCACCCTCACCACCCCGCCTATCTTTTTTTTTTCCATTTTTAAAAAAATTTAATTTCTTTTCAGTGTAACAGAATTTGTTGTTTATGCACCAGACCCAGTGCTCCATGCAATACGTGCCCTCCATATACCCACCACCAGGCTTCTCCTACCTCCCATCCCCCACTCCTTCAAAACCCTCAGATTGTTTTTCAGAGTCCATACTCTCTCATGGTTCATCTCTCCCTCCAATTTCCCTCAACTCCCTTCTCCTCTCCATCTCCCCATGTCCTCTGTGTTATTTCTTATGCTCCACAAATAAATGAAACCATATGATAATTGACTCTCTCTGCTTGACTTATTTCACTCAGCATAATCTCTTCCAGTCCCGTCCATGTTGCTACAAAAGTTGAGTATTCATCCTTTCTGATGGAGGCATAATACTCCATAGTGTATATGGACCACATCTTCCTTATCCATTCATCCATTGAAAGGGCATCTTGGTTCTTTCCACAGTTTGGTGACCATGGCCATTGCTGCTATGAACATTGGGGTACAGATGGCCCTTCTTTTCACTACATCTGTATCTTTGGGGTAAATACCCAGTAGTGCAATGGCAGGGTCATAGGGAAGCTCTATTTTTTTTTTTTATTTTTTTTTTTTAATTTTATTTTTTATAAACATATATTTTTTTTCCCCAGGGGTACAGGTCTGTGAATCGCCAGGTTTACACACTTCCCCACACTCATCATAGCACATACCCTCCCCAATGTCCATAATAACCCCATCCTCCCCAACCCCCCTCCCCCCAGCAACCCTCAGTTTGTTTTGTGAG